AGAAGTGTCTACTTACCTCCTCCTCAGGCAGCCAGCGCTTGCGTCTCAGTCGTTCACTGGCGCAGTGTGTCTTCAGGGGCGCCCGCGAGGACAGGCCGGTGGCTAATGAGTTTTGTTGCTGCATATTTACATCGCTTAACTTATAGACTATGCTGTGCACGCCACTCTCCGCCAGTTGCTGTGAATAACGCTGCGCTGGCTCTATATAATAGTGCTCCGCTTGCGTCTCAATGGTGCCATCCAGCAGATTATCACTTGTGAGTATCGCCTGCACATTGGCAGCCTCATCGTCCTCCAGGCTGCCTGTATAAATGCGTGAGACATCGTAATCGATGGGTCCCAGTGTATTCTCGATTTCTACGTCATGCGCAAATACCGAATTCGGCTGCTGACGCAGCACCAGCAGAAAGTCTCTGTAAGCGAAATTTAGTGAGTGTAAAAAGTTGTGTTGCATTTGAACTCGACTTGCAGCCCACGCACGCACCTGTCATGTGCAGAAAAATTCAGGCGTATTGTGTGCGCTAGTCCCACAGGTGAGCCACTTGAGGGCTCAACTTGCCGTTTTCGACGTGCGCGTGCCTGTTCCAAGTGGCGTAGCTGCGCAGCCTGCAGCACGGAGCGATCAAAGTTCGCCGCCTCCCAGTGTTTAATGTATGGCGTCAGTTTGTGTGTGTAGCCTAAACAGAAAGGGGAGGTTAGGTAAACAGAAACTGGAGAAAGTCGAATTTGGAGCTTACCTGGTAGCTTGAGTGGCGTTGGGATTGCTAGCAGCTCGCTGATGGCCAAAAGCAACGCCAGGAGCGCCAGCAGCCAGCCCATGCTTGCTGTAACTGTGTGTGTTTATGTGTGTTAGTATGTCTGTGTGTGGAAACCTAACTAGTTCTAGGCTGCGTTTTCTGGCTTCGATTGACCTTTGTAAGTCCCCCGTTTCTTACATTATTGCAGCAGTTGTTGGTTTGCCAATAAGAATTGCCAAAGTGGGAAAATCCGTTACAGTCGCAACACAAATAGCATGTGACATCTCACGCGTAGCTGTTGTAAGAGAATAAACAAAGAATATCGAGACTTATTGCAATAACGTTAGCCTCAACAGCGCACAAAGGGATTGCACTTTTATAAATACGACTTCATACAAATACATATATTACACAGCATCAACTTGAGGCAAAGCAAATAATAAAATAATACAAAAATCTTGCTTTCACCTTTTGCAGCGAGTTCGTTAGCTGGCGAAATTCGCAACAGATCAAAACAATAAAATATGTATGTACATCTTTTGTTTAAAATTTACGTACATACATATATATATTTTGCATAAATGGCAAAAGCAACAAACTGCTGGCAAGAGGAAGCAGAGCATCAGCATCTCATTAGCACTTTGTTCGCACACACACACACATACACACACAAACATAAACATCACATACACACATGTACGTTGCGCTTGTTTTGTGTGTGCCCGTGAAAATTACTGTTAGTCGCTTGGTTTTTTTCGCACGCATTTCTATTTGGTTATTAAATGAATTGCCTTCTTTTGCGATATTCACAACCGTTTAATTGGATAATAATCCTTTGCAGTGAGCATTTTATTAGCTGAGCGTGTGTGAGTATTCTTGGTATGAACCAAAACTTTTCTTACTGTTGTTGCTAGTGCCCAAAATAAAGTACATTAGCGTCAAATTCAATAAGCCAGCGCAGGGGGTTATTTTTTTGTACACAACAATTGTTGCACTTTTTCGTTTTGGTAATTGGATTTGGCTAACTCATAGGCAAAATATTAAAACAACTACACAAGCAAACACACATACAAACACAAGCACACACACGCAAAACAATCGACCTCCGCTCGCTGTTGTATTGCCATTAACGCTGTGGCGTAAATGGTAAGCCAACCAAGTTTTTCTGGCCTAAACCTGTTCCCTGGCTTATTCATAAGCCCAAAATAAAGGTTGGTGTCTTATATTATCCGCATTTTAGTACGATGATATATTCTATTCAAAACACTCACTTTTTATTTAATCAAACACTTGCATTTTATTGCAAATAATTTAAAAACAATTATTTTATTTTTCCCCACATAAAAAACGGCTGCAGGTAACAAGTATCGATACTTTCTGAGCGCTGTCTACCAACATACTCGATAACATGAGTTGTGTATGTGTGTGTCAACAATTGCAATGGGATCGGCTATCGATATATGAAACTGCTGTTTTTGTGAATTAAAACTATCGAGCATTTGTGCATGTCAACAATCAACCACCTCCTTTATTAACGTCTGTTGCTTATGTATACCCTCGCGCAGGTTTTTTGCATTCTTTTCCAGCTTAACTTTACAGGCTAATAGTTTTTCCCGTTGTGCATCCAGTGTACCTTCCATTGCTGCTAGTTTCTTCACTTTTTGATCATATTCGTCAAAAACTTGCCACCATGTTTCCAGAGTCAAATTCTCGGGCTCAGTAAGCAGTGCGTGCTCCAGAGCTGCGCTGCTACTGACGTTCCCAGCTGGCTGGCAAATTTCGAATGTTTCAATATCTGCAAGCATTTCGTCTAGTGTTGGCGCTGTGGGTGGTGGTTCCAATTTGGGCTTTGATTTTTTAAACATTGTGTGCAGGATTCTCTACAGTAGATATGTTTCGTTTAGGCTGCTAAAAATTAAAATGATAACGTCAGCATAATATTGATATAGCTGCACAGCACAAAAATAGTCCTTTCTCTGTTGACCAGTATTTACCTGTAAGAGCCCTTTGTTTAATCTACTTTTATATTATTTTGCCTTGGCAGCCTATATTTCTGAAATATAATAGAAAATATCCCAACTGATTGCGATGTTTACTTTTTGATAGATTTTCAGTGTGATATAGCTTGCCATTTCCAGGGCTGCATTTTGAGTGATATGCAACACTGCCTTCCCGCTTTTTAGTGCAACACACGCTCTCTTAGAATAAATATATAAAACAAAAATAATTGTGTTTAATATTTAATAATGACAAATCGGGACGAACTTAGTTCTGCTGCAAAGCACAAATTGATAGAGGCAGTGGTACGTGAAAAAAATCCACTTGATAGACTGCCAGTGAGTTACGATAGCTACAAGTCCAGTTCTGGCGAGGAGTTTAAACTATATTGCCGCGCCAAGAGCGATATGGATGCTAAGACTCTCAAATGGACATTTAAGCTGGCGGAGCAGACTGTGGGCCCCTTTTACAAACAGCTGAAAATGGGCTGGCAACCAAAAATAAAACAATCGGAGCTTAATAAGAACTGGGCTCGTTTCCTGGTGGCCCAGAATCAACAAAAGCAACCCGTGGCCTACACAATGTTCCGCTTCGATATGGACGATGGTGATTGTGTGCTATATTGGTAAATATATGAGGTTAGCAACATGTTTTAAACTAATAGACGCTCTTATTTTGTAGCTACGAAATACAAATTGCACCCGAATACCAGCGAAAGGGTCTTGGCAAGTTTATGATGGAAACGCTTGAGTCATGCGCCAAGATTTGGCAGCTGGAGAAGGTTATGCTCACTGTTTTAAATAATAATGAGAATTCATTAATGTTCTTCAAAGCGCTCGGCTATGCTAAGGATGAAACTTCACCAGATATTTTGCAAGAGTCGGACTACCAGATACTAAGTAAATCCATGCTGGGCTGATTTTTTAATTCTTATTCTTCAACGAATGCGATACAAACGAAATATATTTAATAAATTAGTTTTAAGTTTTAGTGCAAAAGCTTAGCCTGTGCCTCCAGGTATGTGGCCATGCGTATATCCTGGTTGCTCAGGCCGCCAACATCGTGTGTGCTCAGGGTGACCTGTAATTTGTTGTAGACGTTGAACCATTCAGGATGATGATTCATTTTCTCAGCCAGCAGAGCAACACCAGTCATAAAGCTAAAAGCCTGGTTGAAATCCTTAAGCAGAAATTCCTTGTATATGGCATCGCGTCCCTCAACCAGGCACCAGCCTGCATCCAACAGTGGCTGCAGCTTCTCAGCGCGCTCTCGTTCAGTCAGTTTGGCCTGTGTACGAGTATATTTAACAAGCAACAAGTATTTAGTTAAACTGTGTGACTGTGGCTGCGGCTTTCGCTGCCCTTGGGGCCAATTGCTGACCTCGCTTGGCCCCGAGCGATAAGCGTGTTTAAGCCCAGATATTGCTTATTAGAATTGGGCTGTTACAGTACTTGGTAATTGGTTTTTATTAAACCAGATATTCACTTACCACCATTTTGGGTTTTTTTGGACTTGCTGTTGCTGTGAGTGGTTGTTGTTTGCTGAAAAATCTCGAATGACCAACACCAGTTGCTCCCGCTGCTGCTGCTTCTCTCGTTGCTGTCGTGTACAGAACTGAACTCTCATATCTGTTGCTGCTGCTGCGCACAATCAAAGCTTCTCAAATCTTGGCATAATCGCAGCTTGTACTCACCGATACAATCGTTGGTCCCCTTTCCTCCAATGGCTCGTGCTTAATGTTTTTGTTGCTGCAGTCGTTAGCCAGCAAGAGTTGTTTCGCTTATTAAGCAGGCTTGCAAGATTTTGTAAACCTCGCATATTGTGGGCACATTTATTTGTTAGTAACATTCTTAATAACTGGTTTGCCAATTGTATATTGTTAAGCCAACGGATAAGTACGCTGCTCACGACAACTGTTAAGCATTTACAAGTTTGCTTGAAATGAAAGAGCACAGCTGATAGCAGTGTGACCTTAAGAATTTTAAAACGCTTACAGCTGATTAGTAAAAAAAGGAAATAAAATTGAATATGGGCACACTGTCACTGAAAAATTTGATATAATTTGTGTTGTTTGCGAAGCAAAACCTGTAAGCTACGTATCCAGCTTAACACAAACCTTTTCAGGGCTCTAACGAGCTCTGTTAACTGCTTCTTCTTCTATAAGTGGCAGTTACTTTGAAATAAGAAAGAAATATAAATTTGAATTTGAATATTTATAATTTATTTTGTTATTGAGAAATAATACAACTTTTTTTTGAATGAAAATATATACTGGGATTGTCAACCGTATAACGCTGGTTATTTATGCATCATGTTCTCAGCGTCGCCATTGCCATAGTAATCATAATCGGGATTGGCCGTTGAGGTGCCCACCTTGGGATGTTCCGTTGAGGTAACAATCTCTACGGGACGACCCGTTGTGGTCTCTGGAATGGCAGTGGTTGTCTTACGCCATCGTAGACTATATCGACTGCGCACAAATGGTGGCTTGGTGGCGACAGTATCAGTGCCATAGGCTATTGGGAAAACAATTCTTAAAGAACCATAAAATGAAAGATAGTCGACTTACCCAAACTGAAAAGGCAACAGCACAAAAGCAAGAGAAACATCAGCTTCATTTTGCAAAGGTTCTTGCTGCAAACTGTGCCATAGCCTGCTGTTAGCGCTGCATTTATAGGCCCACATTGTTCAGATAATCAAAATCCCGGGGGTCTAGCTCAGAGAAAGCAGTCCACAGCTCGGCTATGCCAGTTCCCAATGGTCCAGCGTACCAAGTTCATTCACCGCGGACATTTTTTATAAATTTATTTATTATCTTTGATGAACACTTACTAAGCTTATTAAATTATATTATTAAACGACAACGTACAAATACATCAAATGAAAATGCTTAAAGAAAATGGTAATAAATACGCGTATATTTTTATTTAGGGGCCGGCGCCGAAATACGCCTCAATTATCCTTTGGTCTAGGGCGCTTTGGACCGGAAGGTATTGGTGGCGGCGGTACATCGGGTACATCGCTATTTTTGTTCTCCGAACCATTTTTGATGTCATCAAAACTGGGCGTGGCATCGAGGCTATCCAGTGGCAAGGGCTGCATCTCCGGCTCTGCCGGGTACATTGGCGGCGCAGCGGCTGGAGGACTGCGCGTTGGATAGCCCTGGCTGGGATAGTAATCGTAGGGCGGCAAATAGTTCTCGCGCTGTTGAACATAGCCCGCCTGGTCATAGATTAGCGGGTATTGGTGATATGGATAGGGCGGCAGATGCATGGATTGGCCATTAAATTGAGAGGAAAGTGGTATCAAAACAGGCGGCAGTCCCCGCTCGTTGAGTGGCAGCGGCAGCTGCTCCTTGGTCTTAAGCTCCTTGGGCTCTGTCTCATCTGGCTGGGCTGGAGCTTGTGCCGCCAGCTCAGGTTGTGGTTGCGGCTGTGGCTGCTGTTCCGCCGGTACAATGCTGGGCTGGTTGGGATCAAAGGATGTACTATAGACGGGCGGATATTGCGGCGCTGTGGGCAATGGATACGGCAGCTGGATGGAGTAAACATTAGTAACTATTTATAGCTGGGGCTAGATATCAGGGGACTCACCCGCTCATTGGGCGGCAGACCTGGCACCAGTGGCTGTCCGAATCTTACGAGCGGCGGACTGTAGAAACCAAATGGGTTATAGGGCCCAAATGGCGCATAGCCTGGCTCGTGTATGGTGGGTTGAATGACCGGATAGGCTCGACTCGAGGTCAAATTGTCATCCGTGGTGATGAGTGCATTATAGACCTTCGGCTTCTTGCGCAGACGTCGGCCACCATGGCAGGAGCTTATGCACAGCGACAAGGCCAAAAGCAACAACAGCAGCGGCAGACTGGACTGTAAGTGGAATAGGAGAGTTCGTTTAGATATGCATCAGTAGCGAGTCCATGATTTGTCACCAAGACCATTTAACGCTGTTTAATTGATTGCCATGGCGATCATCAATCAAAGAATTGTTTACATTGGGCAACAATTGTGCTGTGTGTTGGCCGAAAATCTTTGACGGAAGTTAGGGAACTACGGACAAGGAAGCCGAGGCTATATGGACGACCACAAGTTCGACGTCAGCGCACATGACTTTCAAATGCCAGAGTAGAGTTTCGATTGGGAGATCGATTCGCTTCGATCTCTAAGCAAGTATTGCATTCAAAACGTGCTCGAACAACAACAACAACTACAGCAACAACAACAACAACAATCTATAGACATGTGTGTTAGCCATTGTTGTGAATTAACTACAGTTCATTAGTTTTGAATTGAAATGTAGATTGTTCCTTTAATTGGATTACTATGGAAGCCGATCAAACCGGACGGCCAGCGAGCGATCGACATGGGCTAGAGCATTGGAATTTTGAGCCTTTCCTTAGGCAGCTTTGTCATAGGTCCGGTTAAACGAGTTGACCACTTGGCATGGAAATGCGCCAGCCCATGAAGCTGTAAGTGACGAATACACAAACACATATTAAGCACACTGGGAGTGTGATCTGTGACCGAGTTTCCGTTGATCTTGATCTTTGCATTTGCACGCCCCACACTCTCAATTGTAATCCGCGCCGGCTGCGCTCAGATTACCTAGAGACATTTATGCTGGGCTTCCCCCACTTTTGAAGTTGAAGCTAGTAATTGGCTTTGCTTTCGAAGCATTTCACTTTGACTTTCATTTGGCTATGGCCATGGACAGCAAAACACATTCTCCACCCACGCAGCAGCTCGTGATTGCTCGCCGGGCATTATCTGGATCTGCGCAGAAGAATTGTATCTGTGTATATGTATGGGTGCTTTCCAAAAACGTAGCATTTGAAAGATCAGAGACCAATTTTCAACGCTTTTCCTTTTTGGCTTTTCATGCGGCTATGAAATGGAATCCAATTGTTTGAAATTGAATCAATAAACGACGGCGCAAAGCAACAATTGCACAGCTCGTGCCGATCATAAGCTGATCATAATGATGATCGCCGTCATCATCATCATCATCATCATCATCATCATCATCATCATCATCATCATGAAGTAAGTAAGTGCACTCAATGCTCGTAATTGGGCCATGCTAAGTGCCAAAAGTCAGAGTTTTGTAGCTTGTTTTCAAATAAAAACAACAACAAAGACAACAACGTGAGTGTTAGCTGCTGCACAAGTTGCTGCGGTTCGTCTTTGAAGATCACACGCTCTTGGCCCTGGCTGTGTGCTGTGTTAGGCTTAAAAGCTTAGACTCCAATAGCTGATTATCGGCCTTTTATGATGTGGGTGTGCCAAAGTGAGCATTGGGAAAACTGAGAAACTCTACAAAGTAGAAATGCTGCTAAACTCCTCTGATCTTTGATCTATAATGAAGTCTGGCTTTTTTATTGAACTTTTTCCAAATGGGTAGGTTGAAACGATGTGGACTCCTCGTACAAGTCGGTTGATTTAATGTTGGTTTTTCTTATTATAATTGAGTTATTTAATGAAAAAAGTTAAAGGTCTTACGAGCATTCAAAAAAATTCCACTCTTTAAAACATTAAAGGCAGATCATCTGTTTACCAAAGAAAGAAATTAAGAAAAGATTTCATTTAAAGGCGGGTTTTAAAATTTAAAAAAAAAAACCATTTTTTTTTTAGTGTGGGTCAGAATCAGGAGATTTTTAATCTGTAGGTCAAAGATTAAATGTTTTTCATGTGAGCCATGGCTAAAACAGCGCATGTTCAGATACTGGCCTGTAATTGCAATCCTCGTCTTACAGTTGCCTGAACTACATACTTGGTATGCAAGTGATCAGAACTGGAGAGTACAAGATAGATCAGAGCTACAGAGTATCATAAGATTGTCTTACCAGAACATACTACTTATTTAATTACATACGAGGATTTAGATATAGCTCAAGTCGTGGTAGGTTTAATTTTGTTCATTTAGTGTTTGTATGCACATGTTTGTGTCTCGGAAATAATTTATTGCTTTGCAGCTGTTTTTATTATTTTGGTTTAAAATTTAGTTGGTAGATTTAAATACGTTTACTAATAAATTACGCTAAGTAATTGGGTGTTCTTTGTGTTCTGCTGGTTTTGTTTATGCTTTTGACCTATGAATGATTTACAATTTGTGGCTGGTCCACCTATGCGCTCTCATTCGCTTATTTTTAACTAGCTTGCACTGCCAGTTTTGCATGTTAGACGCTGAGTCAGCCCCCAGAGTTGGCCACAGCTGCCACACACTCAGAGTCATGGCTAAAAGATCAGAGACCAGTTCAAAGGCAATAAAATGGACACTAATGTAACCTTAAACCTGGCACCAAAAGTGAAAGTGTTGAGCCACAAAATAATATACAAAAAGAAGAAACTATAACAAATATGGGAGTACGTATGCCCCATGCACGATTATACGAATCAGTGAACATTTACCTTTAAGTTGTGCATTGTCTCTGATTTTTGCCTTTTTGGTATGCAAAAGTTGTGTTCTGGGCTTATTCGCCTTGCAGGAAGCCTCAAGAAATGCCAAAAAAATTAACACATAAATCGTCAACTGCACTCGGGGTTTTCTTTTTGTTTTTTTTCTTGTCAGTTGCTTTTTTACTTTTATTTATTTTAACTTTTAAAATGCGCAATTTGTGCTGCCGACGCGACGTCGCACGTTGTGACTTTGAGAAAAACAAGTTGCTATAAATTATATTGCAATAAATTGCATATGCAAAAACTAAATGCAACGATTTGCCACGGACACCACGGACTATAACGGAGCTCAGCTCTTTAGCATGGGATCACACGAGGCGCACAACAACAACTGACTGCGGCTGCGCACGCGCGTTTCTTATTGGATTTTGAGCGAGCACTGGGCGGTCTCCTACCTTTTATACCTTCGACGGCGGCAGCGACGTCGGCGTCAAATGCTGCTGCGCAGTCGCTGCCGCTGGCGCAAATGGGCGCTTTACAGCGGCTCGCTGCAGGAACTTCTTTGCGAATTTGGCCTAGTTACGGGCATCCAGCTTTGGGTTATGACAGTTCACTTATGCGGTTTGCCATGCACAGCAGGAAGTATCCTTAAGCTGCATATCGTAAAGAAAATTATTCGAAATTCTCTTTTCTCTTATGCCTAAGACTCGTATGAAGGGGATTCTTGTTTTAAAATGGGTCGTTGGCTGCAACATTATAACTTTATATCCTTCTCTTATATTCATAACCATATTTTGACATGAATATTAAATATATTATAAGAAAAATAAAATGACGCTCGAAATAAATTAATGTAAATATCAATTTTATTTCATTTTAAAAAGTATTCGGTGAAAAAAATCAACATGCTCCTTATAAAGAAATTAATTATTTTAATAATATATTATACATAGAGGGATGTTACTTTTTACTCTTAAAATTCAATTTTTAATTATATAATTTAAATTTGTAAAGCATTACACTCAGTAATTTTCATAGGATTTTAAATAAGTCCCGAAAAGTTCCTGAATTTAGCAATTTTATTTGCATATTTTATAAAATATATTTTTAATTTATTTGTATTACCTAAGTATCAGATTCTGCACAGTTTTTCTTTTCCTTTCTAATTTAAAGCATTAAAATAACTTTTTGTTAAATCAATGATTTAGTAGGGTATTAAAAGTTGGCTGTGCGCTTCGCTGCGCATGCTCTCCGCTGCCTTTTGTTGCATTTTCATTAGCTTTGATTTAATTGCTTTGGCATCGCAATCGATTGGATGCAGTTAACTGAGCGAAAGTCTAGAATAATGAGTGCGAGGGACTGGTCTGGACAAGCTATTGATCGGCTCTCGGACAGGTCACGCCCTCTATTCTAGCCCATAACAAATGAGCTTAACAAAAATAGTTTCACTTTCATCATTACAATGGGTAAGAACTGACATTTGTTTGCTTTGTTTTTGTTGTTGTTGTTGCTGTTATTGTCTTTGTTGTTTACTAGTTACCGCACGCCTCACACTTTGTACCAAAAACAGCTATTAAATTGCCCCCACAACTTCGCCCCAACTGCTCTTTGCTGGCATTATTAATATACCCTGCAGCTGTGCGTGTTACAAAGAAGGGTGTGCTGTTTGTTTTGGAGCACGTGTTTGTTAAAACTATGCGTGCTTATCGGATTTGCGCTGTTTAAGTAACTTTATTTACTCGTAAGTAAATATATAATTATGGCCTTATAATTATGTTTTCTATTATAGGGTGTCATTTAGTCTATCATTTTTTCGAGGTGGCTGGCATTGTGGTAGTCACGTTCACTGGCAAAGGTGATAAGTGCCGGTCTGTCAGTTGCGCGTATATCCCACCCACCCACGCACACACACACACACACACAGGCACACACGCGACTGGAGATGCCGACAGCTCTTGGGGTCAATCAACAATTTGTAGATTTCTTGTTTGCTGTTAATTTATTGTTGTTAGTTGTGTGTTGCAGTTGTTGTTGTTGTTGTGGTTTTAGTTGCTGCTTGCCTCCTGTTGCGTTTTCTTTATTGCATGAACTTTCGCTTTCCCTTTTTACGTTTGCCGTCCGTTTGATTGGCATAATGAGTCTTTGAACTTTACGTGGCAGCCTGATCTGGCAGGTAACAGTTCATTAGATGCTGTTGTTGTTATTGTTGTTTGTGTGCCAGGTGTCTGTTATCATGAGCTCTCGACCAGTCAAATAAATGCTACGAATTATGTTTGCAGTGCTTTCTACAGAGAAAGAAGCTGTAGCTGCAAACTGCAAAAGCTGTTAATTAACATAAATTGTTAACGTCCTAGAAATTTATCCAAAATGTTTTCACCGAGTGTGGACTTTACTTTTACGAATTAGAATTAGAAAAACAATCATTTTGCTATTTTTTTTTTCTTAGTTTTACGATTTATGTATTTTTAATGCGCAAATCCCTCTTGGCGGTAGACAAACCACTGGAACCGTAGATGTTCGCATAAGAGAACTTTCACTGTATTAAAATTTTAAAGAGTTTTCTAAAGCTTGAAATTTTGAACGTTTAAAATACGTTTTGCTCGCTATGCAAAGCAAGCAGCTTTGCGGCGCTTGCATAAGCATAACTCTGCTCTGTCGCTAGGTAGCGCTAATATATTACTGATAGATGGCGGTAAAGTTTGTTCTATCAGTTTGATTTTAAGCTGGTTTAATAGATGGCGCCACAGGCTGTGTTTTCTGTTTATTTTGAATATTATTAGCTGCATTCTAATTAGACTTAAATATTTGACTGGAAGCCGCCAACATTAAATTACTTACAGGTGGCGTCTTGTTAGACTAGCTCTATCGCTAGAATGCGCTAACATATTACTGTCAGATGCCGCCTTTTTACACTAGCTCTATCGTTAGAGAGCGCCAACATAGCATTACTAACAGATGGTGCTATAGCATGCATTTTCAGTTTATTTTAATCGTATTGGTTCAAATCTAATTATAATAAATATATCGCTAGATGGCGCCAATATAAATTTACTAACAGATGGCATCACAGATTGCCTCATTGGTTCAACTGGAATCTAATCTTCATAGATCTTACTAGAATAGTTAATATATGTTTATATATGTTTAAACTATTTACAATGAAAATATAATTTGTATTTAATTTAAATTTATTGCTGACCGGAATAGAGATGACTGTATGTGTCATTATCAGGTGTGTTTTTGGTCACTTTGAACCTTGACAATTACTTTTTAGCACCTTTAGCCCATCGATAAGACAATCAATGCAGCCAGTCAATCACATTTGTGCCGGCGACCTTAGAAGGTGATCGCCCGAGCCCAGTTAGCTATAAAAACAAATGCAAGCACAGCAAAAAATTGCAGTTGCAATCCGTCTAACTAAATTCAAACATGAAATTTTTCATACTGTTGCTGAGCTTGACTTTGGCCCTGGCCGATGAGCATGAGCATCATCATCATGGCCATGAAGACCATGTCCATGATCATGATCATCATGTCACCGGCTATGTGGTAAAGACGCATGAGGATCTGGTCAAATATAGACATTTGTGCGCCGAACAGGTGCACGCCACCGAAGAGGATGTGGCCAAGTATATAAAATGGGAGTTTGCGGATGAGGAGAAAAGTCGCTGCTACTTGAAGTGCGTCTTCGAGCAGTTTGGTTTCTTTGATGCCACCCATGGCTTCGATGTGCACAAGATCCATGAGCAGCTTTCTGGCGGTGCTCATGTGGATCATACGGATGAGACGCACCACAAGATTGTGGCCTGTGCGGACAGCAATACGCAGGGCAGCGATGCCTGCACCTGGGCTTATCGCGGCGGCATGTGCTTCATGCACTCCAATCTGCAGCTGGTCCAGCACAGCGTCAAGGTCTAACCAGACACTTGGACAAATATCCAAAATAAATTCGTGTACACTGAATAAAAACCATTTTTTTATTTGATATTATTCATGTATTCCTCGATCCACCGACCAAATCTCCCTCCTGTCGCACACTTGTACGCCGCATAGGCCCACTGTGCAGGCTGCTCCTTGCGTTGCTCTCTATTGTTGCAGTAGTCGATGACCACGATTAATTCCTCCATTTGTTGGCGCTCCGCAAACATGTGGGCTATGCGTTTCGCCTTGAAGCCGTCGTCGTCCGTCCATAGACCCAGCTGCTTTGTCAGGCATCTCAGCGTGTTTGCCGCCTCGCCAGCTGCTTGCGCCTGGCAGCTTTGCAGACTGTGCTGCACTGCCTCCGCTGTAGGCGGCTGCCAGGTGGGCGTGCCGTCTGCCTTGACGGCATGCCACAAAACTCCGATTAGCAGGCAGCACAGCAAACGCAGCTTCAATATTTTCATTATTATTCGCTGTCATCCACTTGGAAAATGGAGCACAATGTGCGCCGACACGCATCTCTTATATTTATATAGAAAAAGCCCGCTCTAGGCAAAACCAGTTCCGATTAATGCTTTGGCATTGACATTAACCTAGAATTCGTGGAACTCGACTCGACACGATTCTAATTGCTGTCCCTCGCACGTAATGGGACAGGCCCAGATCCAAAGCCAGCTCGGGCAAATCGCACTCTTTATACCCTGATCCTATTGAAGTTTTTTAAAGAAAGGGTATATTAGTTTTGTGGAAGTGTATGTAACAGGTCATGATATGTCTGTCAGTCCGTCTGTCCTCCCAACCGTCAGTCGGTCTGCCCGTTTGAACGCCTATTTCTCAGAGTCTGTAGGAGCTAGGGGCTTGTAATGAAGCACATAGATCAACTTCGGGCATTCACATATAAGGGTTGTTTCAAGTCGTCCATACCCCAGTTTGTTTTTACGATATCGATAATAATCGCTTTTTCGCATAGGTTTTCAGATAGTAATCATTAAAGCTAGAGAAATAAAAGTGGAGTGAGGGCTGTCGAATATCCTGCGCAGCTTTTGTGATATAATCAAGGTAGAGCTTTGGGCCTTGGCATACGAACGTATGCAATATTTAAGCCCTGAAAATTTCATCAAGATTCGATCGTGATTTATTACAGAAGTTATAAAGCATACATTTTCCATAGCATGGGGCTAACAAAAGACGAAGCACAGGCTATGGAAATTTGTTAAAATGTTTGCTAGCGCAGCTCTGTGCGGTCTACAGGGTACCTTCTAGTCGGTTATTTTCGGCTAGAGTACTCTTGTTTAAATCGGGCTGTGAGGGAATCGTAGTCTTTTCTACTTTTTTGTGATTGTTTTTGTTCACAAAGTTTTATTCATTAATTATTAAATTCGTTTTTTTTGTTTTGAGACAGCTGAATTAAGTCGCGTACAAAATTTATTTGCCGGAGCTTATTATTAACTAGTCCGAAGCTGTATTTAGTATTTAATAGGGTTTGCGTCATTCATTCCGGCAATTGCCTTTTTTTTTAAATCTACTTTCCATGCTCATCCTTAAATTTTACGCATTAAACATTTTGTACAACTAACAAATGATATAAAACTCTTAAAAAGAATTTTCTTGTTGCAAATATCTAAATGTATTTCGTTCTTCCCAAACGTCTCCATATTCACACCCCCCCCTTTCCCCTTTATACCCCTTTAACCTTTCCTCCAATTACAATAAGTAGTCTAAATTGCAACTGCAATTATAAGCTTGCGGCTGATTGCACAGTTCGTGGTTTAAGCCAAGTGCCAAGTGCATTGCAATCAGACGTGAATTCCTACTTCTTTTTTATACCCTGTACCGATTGAAAATGTGTGAAGAGGATATAATGTTTTATAAGGCATGTATGTATTAGGCATGGGAAACAATCTTTGATAAATCAGGTCAATGAGCGGGGTCGATCAAGTTATTTCCGTCCGTCCATCCATCTGTCTGTCTGTCGATATTTTCGATATTATCGATAAATATCGATTTTAAGTCTTTTAAGGCATAGCTCGATGATTATAGCTGCCAGATACACCCAATTTCTTTTTTAGTCTACACAGATGAAGAATATTTCACTTTTTGGGATATCTGCAATAAATTACCTTCAACCCATTTTGATAGGTAGAGACCGTAAGCAGCGAAGTTAAGCAAGAATGCATTCTCCAATATTGTTTCGCGGGAAAGAAAATGGCGTGCGTGCTTGCGTGTGTGAGTGTGTATGTGTATGTGTAGATACAAGTTAGAATAATTTAATCGGCAGCTCAGCGTATCTCCTAGTCGTGCACTCCCGACTGGAGCACTCCTAGTTGTTTCTTTGGCCTTTGACTGCCGCACATGGTTTTTTTTTGTGTGCTGAGCTGGGTTGCAGGGCGTTGTAGAAGGAGAAGGAGGAGGAGGAGGAGGAGGAGGGGGGGGAGGGGCTCAGTGCATAGGTGACTTTCTCCGTTGACTGTGACTACTTCATTAACAACTCGCTGTGTCGTTTTCACGCTGCAATAGATCTTTCCGCGCCATTCAACCTCAACCCGTGCATATGTCAGCCGCGTTTGACAAAGCTAATTTCATTGCGACGGGCTTACCGAACCGGGCGCTACGTAAGACCCGCAAAACGCCAAACAAACACTTCACACGACCTATTCAATTATTTCTCAATTAAATGTCGTGTAAAGAAATCATCGACGTTGTCGTCAACCACATCCACAGCCGCCTTCTCACCCGCGCTCCTGCTGGCGTTTCCATTGAGCGCCTGCTACCCATCGATGAACACTTGACACTTTTCGTGGATCGCTCAGAGGGTGGGTGGAGGGGGAAGGGGGGTTGGGGGCTATATAGGGGGTTAGGCGTGCACATAATAGTCAAAGGCAAAACTGAATTCAATTTGAGTTTTTCATTTGCATTTGGGCATTACGAGTTTTTAGCTTTGGTTTTTGGGTTGGCTTCGACTTTTCGTAAAACTCAAACTCGAATTGTTTTAACTTTTGACATTGTTCAACGAACAAGTAGAACAAGGAGCGATGCCTATTTCAGGCTTGATTAAAAGGATTACTCGATTATGTAGAATAGTATAGTTCAGTATTAGAAGAATTTATATGCAACATAATGCAGTGTTTTAATAATTAATAATAATAATAAATATATAGTTAAATTCGCATGCACTGGGTTAACTGGCCAACTAATCTTTTAAGTCCCAACTTTTGTTAGAGTACCAAGATAAGATTTCAAACATTCGGATTGTTTCTATATTATAATTATTGGCTATCGCGGGTTTCATTCTAACAAATAATTGTAAGCCCAAAATAATATTTAGGTGGTTTTGTTCAAGGCTCGTATATCTGGAGTTCCACACAAATCCAACCTAGGGAAATTGTGGAAAGAAATCGTCTTGGTTTTAGCCATGATTCCAACACTGCTTCTCTCATAATTTCAGCGGTCCTCTCTACTTTTTTAAAATTCTCTTTGGGATGCGAATCGGTTCAATTTTCAAGATTTAAGCCTTTATTTTAATACAGCATTGATTGTAATATTGCACCAAACATATTTTATACAGCTGTCTGTCTTTCTCCCTCTCTCTTTTGCACTTTCTCCCTCTATATCTCTTTAGCTTTCTAATTTGTCTTTTGGGCCTAATCTCTCTGTTGGATTTGAACTGGTTCATCTTAAACAAGTAAGAGGTTCTAGTCGGGAGCTCCCGACTAGGGGACACCCTGGACCCTCTTCTTCCGACAGGCGATAGGTATAAAATGAAAAATAGTTGATATATATGTATATACTATTCTAGAAGCTACATGTCAAGTTTGGTGACTCTATTGTTTGCCGCAATTGCTCAAAAAACAGGATTTCGATCTAGATTTTTTATCGATTACTTGGAAACGGGAAAGTTATCGAATAGCGGAAACAAACTCGATCGGCGCGGGCACTAGGAGGACCTACAGCCAAAATTTCAATCTCTAGCTCTTATAGGTTCGGGGTCGTTCATGGGGTCGGACATGCTTTTTACTGCATGTTACATACATTTGCACAAATACCCTTTTTATCGATTTTTAGTGGGTTCAGGGTATAAATATATTTCGGCCTGTATTCTAATAAAGTTCCGTACTTAAGCTCAACTTTGAACTATTCTCTCTTTCTCTCTCTCCCTCTGAACTGTTTGGCTTAAAACGGGTTTGCCTCTATTAGTCACATACTAAACCTAACATCATTTTAGCATACTCTCCCCGGTTTCTTTCTGGCTATTTTTTGGTTTATTAATCTCTTTCAGGTTCGGACCGGTTCAATTTAAACTATTTTTAAGCCTTTATTAATTGTTATATAAATTCTTCCAACTGAAATTGAGCTTTACACAGTCCCTCTCTCGCTCCATTCCTCTTTCCTCTCCCCTCTCACTTTCTCGTTCTCCTTTTTTCTCTCATTACTCTTCTCTCTCTATTATTTTATAATTTCACTCAGCTTGCATTTGATTGCGCCGTAAAATGTTCGCTTTGGAGTTAAATGGTCTGCGAGTTGTTTCTTTTGATGCGCATTGTTTCTGTTTTCAGGTGGCTGAAGGGGGCGGCGTGGGGTCCAGTCTGAACTGTTTCCATTGTATGGCCACCCCCCCTGTCAGAGCCACGCCCCAATGGGTCAGTGGCGGTCGCCCATTGAAGCTGCTCTAATTGCAACTTTGAAACTCAATTGGGTGGCCAACGGGTGCATGTACCCACTTTTCGACTTGAATAAAACACACATACACACGCTCACACACACACACGCACATATACACACACACACAGCAATTAAATAAAAAATGTTTTGCGCTTTTCAGTTTTATTCAGTTTTTCAGCATATTCAGAAAATACACAGTTTACTGTATACAAAATTTCACAATTTACGGCATCCACTTGAATTTTTGAACATGTTTTGGCCAGGGGCCAGCCATAAGGTCAGCTCTATTTTGAATGGAGCCAAGTGCTGGTGGTGGCTGCTGGTTGGGTGGTTGGGTGGTGCACACGTGCGGCTTTTTCATTTTTTTTATTTCATTTTGTTTAAAGCAGCGGGAAATCTTTTCCAGGATCTCGCTCCACTCGGCCATGTTCGTGTGCAGTGGCGCGTGTGTCTGCATTTTAGTGCGCCAAGTTGCGCTGCCAACAAATGCGACAGTAAAAACTTTTACCGTAACCGCTCTCAGTGCTCCCCCTCCACCCGTTCCCTCCACAAGTGGGCGTGGCCAGCGTAGAGCAACGACGACACATTGTGCCAAAAGTTTTGCTCCCGGCAAAGTTCGAAAAACTTTTGCGCACAGCAACTGGCAGCAAAAGAAGTGCTGCAAAATGCTAGAAAATTGGAATACTTTCTAAAGTCGAAAGTTCGTTTCTTATTTAATGCCCTATACCCATTAAAAAAACAGTATAAGGCGAGTATAAGAAAGTTGTGCAAATGTATGTGAGAAAAAAATAAGTACATATACAGCTTCAATAGCTGGGCACACATAGTTCTTTCTGTCCATTTTCCGAACTATATGAACTCAGAGATTGTAAGAGCTAGAGAGCTCAAATTTGGTATGTAGGTCAGATTAAGATAAAGAATTATAACAACCATTTCGACGACATATATTTTCAACTCGGCTACATATA